GCCAGCCCAGGGACTAATTAGTGCTTACACAGCTGCTTGACTTCCTTGTCCCTCACAGCCTGGGAACACTGTGAAGGTCTCCATGGCGAGTGACAGGCTTTGATGTCAGGATGATGAAGCCAGCATCACCGTTCGCAGGTTTGTGAATGGTAGATGTGTGAACCAAATGAGTCAGTGCTACTGTATGAATTTTTAACAGAAATAGCTCACATAGATTGCTCTGCCAATTCACAAAAAAGGCCACTTTCACAGCTGAGAGCTAATGCTGTATATAGGTCCTTATTTTGTGATCGAGATTCCATCTGTGAAAACCAAACTAAAAAAAAAAAGAGTGTAAGAAAAATCAAGAACTTTTTGTTGCCTTTTAACTACTAGAATGTTGACTCTACCAAATGGATTAAATTTAGTTCCTGCAAAGCAGATTTGCTCCACTGTTCTGCATTTGCCTTTAGGATGCTCAGATTCTCCAGATTCTCGCGTTGCTGGGACTTAGTTCCTGCTATTTTTGCAGTATTTTTGGAAGTCACATGAAACACTGGAATATTCTGTTTCTGTCCCAGTGTCAGGATCTAAAATTCCTTGTCGTCTCAAAGTTGACAAAATCTTAGGAAACCTCTCCACTGTCCATTTCCTTTCTCTTCTTCTGCGTGGTGTGTCCTGACTGGTCAGTACTAGTTTATGCATCATTAGCATGACATTGAGAATAATAAAAAGAGTTTTCTCGTAATTTGATTGAACATTTGTCCTTCAGCTTTGCATAGCCTAGGGACTCTGGGGTGAAGATTTGAGCCAGTGTACCTCTAAGTTCCTGTCAGTGTTAAACTATGAATTTCTGAGCAGTTTCAAGACCCTGAAAAGAATCCATCAAAGTTTGAATGGAGATGTAGAAAAGATCCCAAATTTGGAGACGCTTCTATTATTACTATATTGATTAAAGCCATTTTAATTTGTTATTACTGTTGGTGGTGGTGTGTGTGTATGCATGCAGTGGCAGGTGTTTGAAAGTCAGATGTCAGTTGCAGGAGTCGGTACTCTTTCTCTCCACTATGTGGGTCGTGGGGATTGAACTCAGGTCACTGAGTCTGGCCTCAAGCTCTTTTGTCCACTGAACCGTCTTACCAACTGTCATTCTGACAATTTTTAGAAGAAATCAAAGAGAAAATTATGGCATAAATAAATGCTATTTTCTTCATTTGAAAAGTTCTTTTTCTTTTCAAGAGGAGTTATTTGAATATCATAAATGATTTTAGTACTGGTTTCTGAGTTCTCATTTTGCATTATACATATGAAATAACCATGATCTTGTCATTAAAATATTTCTAATATTAATGATCATTGGTTTCTGTAAACTTCTAAATTGGTAGGAATACTGAAGAAGGTCCAGAAAGAATAGACAAAACAGTAAATAAAAAGTACTTTGTCTTCTTTCTTTGGTTTGAGCTTTGCTCCTTTGAAAACATTTCCAATTCTGGTGTATCAAAGTGTAATCTAGGAATCAGAAAGCATTGGTCCCATACTTCAGTAGCATGGATCCTAAAGTTCCAAGAATCACCTAAGTTCTTGTGTCTTTAGATTTTTAAAGTTTAATAAATTAACAAAATACCATTAAATGTTTTAGTAAAATGTTCTTAGCCAAAGAGAGAGCTTCGTCTAAATGAGCTGTCTACTCAGGGGTAGTCTTTGAGGGCCATCAGAATCACTTCAAAGAAACTCTAGAAACACCCACTGTTTATGCTTCAGCTCAAGTCATTGAGAGCAGTGGCCTGGGCTGGTACCCAGGTAGCAATAGTTTTGAAAGATGCTTAGGCAATTCCAATGTGCAGCTGGGGTGAGAGTTTTTAATTTATTGAATATCACATGTACACTACTTGTTAGAAGAGCAGCATATGCAAGGTTTTTGTAGGAATGTGTGGTGGAAATGGCCTTCGTAAGAGAGCTTGGATCATGTTGAAAGCCTGCCTTATCAACACCAGCTGTGTTAGCTTCAGCAGATACTTTACCCTGGCCTGACATTTCATTTCATCTTTTGTATTGAAGTTTCATGCTTAATTGCATTGTAGTATGTTTTTTTGAGTATTTTCCTGCAACACATGAACAGGTAACAAATTCAGATATCTATTCTATTCATTTTGATTCAGGTGGTCATGCAAGAGACTTTTAGTTTGATGTTTGACTAAAGACTTGTCATTAAGAAGTTTGGCATTTTGTGAATTCGAAACTTATGGGTTTATATCATTATCTAACAAGGAAGAGCTTGCTAAGCAAACCATAACATAAGCCCTTCCAGGGCACTGTTAAGCCTACTTAAGAAAACCAGCTGTTTTGACAAAGTACGTAGAAGGGCATGCTTATCATAGGAAAATCCAAAAGCAGATCTTGAAATGGAGACAAGGCAAACTTGAGTAAATGGGGAACATAGGGGGCTATGATAGTACTGGTGGGAGGCCTGGATATCTTTCTGAGGCTACTTCTGCCAGCAGCCTAACAGATAGGATGTCCCGAGTCAGGGGATCTTACGAGGCTTAGATTAGATGACTCAGTTACTCAACAAATCTGTTGTTCACTGAGTACCTGTTACAGACTGGCTGGTGTAACAGATACAAAGGATGCAAGAAAGAAAATGTGTACCCTGGGAGGAGTTAGAAGAAGAGTCAGTTCATATTTTTATTTTATTTTTAGTGTGTGTGTGTGTGTGTGTGTGTGTGTGTGTGTGTGTTGTGCATGTGCACACATTCGCCAATCACCAATGTGCATGTACATATATGTGCCTGTGTGTGTGGAGGCCAGATGTCAACAATGTATGTCTTCCTGGAGCCTTCTACATTCTATAATCATCATCATCATCATTGGAGAATAGACCCTCACTGAACCTGGAGCTTGTTATTGGCTAGACTATCTGGTAGTAAGCCCTGAAATCCTCCTCTCTTGCTGGTATTTCAGGTACATGCTATCGTTCCTCGTGTCTGTACATAAATACTGAGATCCAAACTCAGGCAATCACATTTTGCAGCAAGTATAGCAAACACTTTTCCACAAAGCCATTTCCCCAGGCCCAAGTCTTCACATTTTTAGAGAGTCTATGCTGTGCATTTTTTATAGGGGCCTCATTTTTTTCTCCCCTTTTAATTTATTTTTGGAGACAGGTTCTAATTATGTAGCCCAGACTAGCATCAGACTCACAATCCTTGTGCCTTAGTCTCCTGAGTGCTTAGATTACAGGTGTGCACCAATGTCTGGCCCTGTCTGCTTTGTCAGCCCCATGTTTCCATGCCTCACTGTACACAGCAGACATGAAACACTGAGTATTGGTTATAGGGATGAATGAATCAGCTTCATGTCATATTTTCTTGCTGCTTTGGGGTTCCGTATGAATGTGAACATGGTTGTCTAACTTTAGAGCCTTTTAAACTATAACAGTGGCATATTCTTCTTTAGAGTCTGACAATTTGAGACCACTTGTTTTTGGCTAATGTTCTTTTCATGCTTGGCGTTCACCTTAAGTCCAGTATTCCTCATGGAAAGGAAGATAAATTCTTCCCTTGACATTCCCTTTTTCTGTTAAGTTAAAAATTGTAGCTTCATGAATGTGGATTTTAATCTTTCCACCATGCGGAATGATACTTCAGCTTTGGCTGAACTGGCAGCATCTGCACCGAGCATCTGATCACATTAGGCACACAGAGTTTCTAACTTAGGTGGTGCAGCCAGCTAAGAGCTTGTGGAATGCACTTGAACCCCGTTCTGTTATTTTACACATGGCTGGGGTCTGGGTGTTCCCCCCCCCATATCTTCTCAGATTGTGAACAAATGGAAAAATTACAATGCCCCTCTCTTTGACTTAAGTTCTGTCATTTGTGACAGGTAATATTTTCTCTCAGATTGCAGCTGTCCTCTTAGATGGTTTCACTAGTGCACCCCTACTCAGGGTTAGCAGAGCTGGAAGACACTGGGGGGATACACTAATCTTTTATTTGGAATTTTATTTTAATGGAAAGTTGGAGTTGAAATGACTTGGCATTTGATCCAGGGCTACTGCTTTTATTTGAGACAGGAATTGGGCCTTGACAGCTGAGGAGGCTGTGATAGTCACCATCACTGGGAACCTGTGACTCTTTCTGAAGTTCCTTCTGTTAGCCATGTACCCTGTGTGAATTCTCTTAATTTCTGTGGGAACTTAATAGTTCAAGGTGATATACATGGGTGTTTATATTTTGTTGTGTAATCTTTCACCCTTGATTGCTTACAATTATAATGTGTTAAGTTGGAAATTTTACTTTAAAGTCCCATTTAGATGAATTCCATTTTCAAATATAGATTTGTACTGTTCAGCGATCCTGTGTTCAGTACAATCAACTGGGATTTGGGTGTGGGCTCCATACTATTTTATAATCTGTCTGTGTGGTCCTTCACACACTTGCTTCTTAGATAGCAGAGCACTGTGGTCTTTTTTTTTTTCCTGTCTTATACTATAAAAAATGTATGTTTTATATATATATATATATGTTATATATATATATATATATATATATATATATATATATATATATGCTATGATTAACTTTTTTTTAGGCATGAGAGGAATGAATGCTAGAATGGTTTGACTATTTTGCAACAAAGCAGTAAGTGAAATTTTTGAGCTTCCTTGAATCAAGTTGGACCTCCCAACTTCTACCTGAGCCTCTGTTGGAATGTAGGGTGTGAGAGGCTGTCAAGGTTGTTTTGAAGTGGAATAACTCTTGTAGGGAAAGCAATGGAAGGAAGGGGGCACGGGTGTATCCATTTGTGGGTAGCACTGTGCCATAGACAGGCCTCAGAGTGTTGTGTTCCCATAGGATCAGCCTCACCCAGAAAGCCTTTCTGAGTTCAGTTTCCTGGGCTCTCTAGATAATCTCAGTTCTCAAATCATCATGGCATGCACAGGACGTAGGGAGCGATGACAGTGGCTACTTGGGAGTACCATGCAAGAGCTGACTACCCCATGCTTTGTTTTGTGATTTCAGAGTGCAAATTCACCTGCACCAGCGGCAAATGCTTGTATCTTGGTTCACTGGTCTGTAACCAACAGAATGACTGTGGGGACAACAGTGACGAAGAAAACTGCCTCCTGGTGACCGAGCATCCACCTCCAGGCATCTTCAACTGTAAGTTCCTCTGACTCACCCTTGTGGCATTGTGTCTGATGATGTTTCGAAGCAAACAGGAGGTGGAAAGGTTATGTTTCCAAGTTAAAGGAAAGAGATGTGCATGGTTTTCTTTTGGTATGGAAGAGAGCATGTGTAAGATGGAGAATACAATGTGTTCTTGTAGGTGGTCACTGGCGCTGTGGTTTGTAATGGGGCTTTACTGTTGATCTGAGAAGCCCCAGTTGGTTTTAAGAAAGCATATATTTGTGTTCCTTACACAGCTTTAGAGACATTTTTGAATGTATGACTTCAGAAATAATTTTAAGTATTAAGTGAATATAGGTCCATAATTATTCACAAAAATAGAAATATTTACATGAGACTCTTAAAGGTTCTAGTTGTATGTTTTGCTAATAAATACCAAATGGAAATAACACATGTGTCAGGTTTTTACACACATGGCTCCCCAGAGCCGAGGCATGGGACACTGTCTTGAATCTGAAAAGGTGAGATCAGAATCTAAAATTCACTGGTTTTGGATTTTATGATTATTGTGACAAGAAAGGAAGAATACAGTTTTGAAACACTCCTGAATTCTGCTAGTATCTGTGAACCAAGTGAAGTGGGTTGAGGGTGAGCATCTTTGCTGGTCCTTGCTGTGTTCAGATAGCCGCTTCCCCCTGCCCTGGAACTGACATTAAAGGCTTGGTCTGCAGCCCATGGTACTGTTGTGAGGTGGTTAACTCCTAGAGACATGGAGCTCTGGAGTGCTCTGCCTTTCATAAGGAGATGTTGGGACCCTGGGTCCTCTTTCCTTTCCTTTCCTTGGCTTCCTTTAATGTTCTGAGGCAGGTTTCTGCTATGTAGCCCAGGCTGGTCTCAAACTTCCGGTTTGCCTGCCTCAGGATCCTAAATGTTAAGATTACAGGTGTGAGCTAGCGTGCCGTCTTTTCTTGGCTTCCCTACTGCCATGAAGTGGGCACTTTTGCTCTCCAATGCGATGTGCTGCCTTTGCACAGGCCTGAAGGCAATGGGACCAGTTGCCCATGGATTTAAACCTCTGAAAAAACTTTTAGGTTGGCCATTTCTAAAGTGTTTGTTATGGTGCTATGAAGCTGAGAGATACAGTCCTCTTCATCCTCTTACTGAGATCAGTATTTCAGGTACAGTCATTCCCTCTTCATACCTGTGCTGATGCCATTTTGAGGCATTATTTGGCAAAAATTAAATCTGGGGAGTTGGAGAGATGGCTTAGGCACTTGCTGCTCTTGCAGAGGACCTGGGTTCAGCTCCTGGCACCCACATGGCAGCTCATGACCATCTTTAACTCAAGTTTCAGGGGTGCTGATACCTTCTTCTGTCCTCCATGGGCAGCAGGCATGTACATAGTGTACATACACCCACATGGACAACATAGTCATGCACATAAAATAAATAGTTTTAAATGAAAAATTCATGTGGAAATTAGACTGCAAAAATACAATTGCTGTAAATTTGGAAAAACAAACAACAAAACCCCACATATTTCTCTACCCCTACTTTAGGGGAAGTCCTTATATGGTCCTAGTATAAAAATGATGATGGTCTGGTGAATTTTAAGCCTGCTTTTTGTGCTTGCCAAAATCATTTTTGAACTTTATTTCAATTTTAAAAGATATTGGTTATTTGTTGTTTGGGTACATGTGAGTGTGTACACTTATTCATGTAGGTATGTATGAAAGGCCAGAGGTTGATACTGAGTGTCTTCCTCAATTGCTTTTCTAACTCATTTTTTTTCACATGGTGTACTTTCTTGAACCTCAGGCTTGCCATTTGGGCTACATTGACTGGCCAGTGAGCCCTGGGGTTCTGATTAATGTCTAAACCCTACCACAGCACTGGGGTTCCAGATGCACAGAGGCACATCTGGCTTTTATGTGGATGTTGGGAATCCCAAATCAGGTCCTCATGCTTATGCAGTAAGCCCTTGACCCACTGAACTGCCCCTCAAGCCCCTGAATTTTCTTATACCGACTGTCTATAAAGTTCTGTCTTTATGTGCTGAGCAAACAGGTCTCAAAGGGCAGGGCTGGCCCTGTACTTCCCCAGCATTGGCCCTCTGCTTTTCTTGGGTTATGTTTGTGTGGTAGTATTTGTATAATGCCGCTGCCTGGCTATGTGGAGTTATTCGGCCTGTGGTCTCTCACTTTTCTTGCCTATGGACAGTGTGAAACATTTGTCAGCTGTGAAAGGGAAGAGGACAGAGGGAGGCTGGTAGCATGGAAGAGGGGACTGGGAATTAGACTGAAGACAGGCAGCATGCCAGAAGACCAAGAACACCGAGGGCCTCCGGTCTACCTTTCCCATGGACATGGAAAGGTGGTTTTGAGTCCCACATCTAAACTATAAAATGTTCTTTTTGTTTCTTTTCTGTCATGTACTGGGAGTTGAACCAGAACCTTATACATTCCAGGCAAGCACTCTACCACTGCTTTGCTTAGCCTGTCCTCCTTTGCTTGCTTTAAGACACTCTTGTTACTAAGCTTCCCACGTAGGCCTTTAACTCTGTAATTCAGGTTGGCGTTGAACATGCAATCTTGCAGCTTCAGCGTCCCAAGTAGCTGGGATTATAGGCCTACCACACCAGGCTACCATACCTGGCTAAATATGCTTTGAATATGTGTACTTGTTTCAACTAAACTACTGGAATGGGGTCCCAGTAATACAGCTTTCTTAGCAGTTAGCATGTTATCTTATTCCTGTGCCCCAGAGCCATCATTTGCACAATTAGGGGACAAGAGATGGCTATTGTATGTACTACAGGGGAAATGGATAATTCAAATAAGTCATTTAGACCTTGCAAGGCATAAGCTCTTGGTGAATATGAACTTGTTCCAAGCTAGACTGATGGATTAGGATCCCCACCCTAGGACTTAGCAGTTAGGCAGATTGCTTTTGCATAAGGAAGTGACTGAATCCTTTAAGACCTAGATTCTGGTATCTATGAAATGGGCATAATTTATGTTGCATAAGATTGCACATGGGTTTAGTGTGAGCTACATAATTGCATTGCCCACCTCCCCTATCTCCTTTCTCTCTCCCTCCTCCCCCTGCTCCTCCTCTTCCTTCTCACATATTGCTTAGGCATCCCTTGGGGAGCTGAATCGCCACAGCTTTATATGAGCACAAAACGCTAGCTGGTGTTGATGTACTCATTCTTGCCTCAGCAAACCAGCCATGTGCTGCCTCAGTGTTCCTGTCAGGCTGGGAGGTTCCCGTTGCTCTATACTGTCACTCCATGGGGTGGGGGTGGGCTGAGGAACTGAGCTTCTATAGCTGCCTAGCCGCTATAGTCTACACAGCTTGGAAAGGGCTGCGCATGCTCCAGGGATCTGTGCCACCGGCCTTCCGCCTTCCGAGGAAGCCCAGAGTTGAGAAGTGCCAGCTGTCAATGGCAAGGACTTCTCACTTTCTGCTCCACTGGAATTTCCAGTTACCCAGAAGGATCCTATTCAGAGAAAGTGGGGAGCATAGCAGCTCCTGTCCTCACCAGAGCCGAAGCTGCTCCCTTCCCTGTAAGTGGCCTTATAACACTGACTCTCACAATCAAAGGAACCAAAGCCACACAGAAGTGCCCAATTAAGTCGGCATTTTAACTTCACAACTTTTTCTGGGAAGAAACCCTGCCCTGCGCCCCTCCCAGGCCAGTTAGGGTAATAACAAAATAAGATGTAACCTGAGCAAACTGCTTTCCTTCCTAAGCCAGCTTTCTCATCTCCCTCAGTATTGTCCCCAGTGTCTCTAGGCACCAGGTAGAAACTACCATCCCCTGTTTCTTAAGCGTCCAGGTGTCTTTGGTCTTGAGAACTTCCTACCCTCTAGAAAAACCTATTTGTGACCAGGGCTTACAGCTGATATATATATATATATATATATATATATATATATATATATATATATATATATAATTTTTTTTTACAATTATTGCAGAAGCATTAAAAATAGTTCTCCACATCCTTATAGCCTAACAGATTGTGCACCTCGTTCTCCAGTTGTCTTATTTTCATCTGGGTTTTTGTTTTCTTATTAGTTTTATTGGCAGTCCATAGTAATGCGTTTCAGTGTGGCCACACACGCTGCTGGTTGGTCCTCTGCCCCTCTCTGCTTCCCCATCCCCCTGCCTCCCTTCTTGATGGCTCTCTTCCTTTTGCTAGTGCCTCACCCCCACCTTTCACTTTCCAATTCTGTGTTTTAGTCTATTCTGGGTACAGTTGGTTTGAATTAGGATCCAAAGCCAAAATGTGGTGGTGGGGTGCACACACACACACACACACACACACACACACACACACACACACACACACACACACACAAGCTCTGTGAACTTGTTTACTCAGCAGATTCCTGAACCTCTTCCTCATCCTCTTCAGCTGTGACTTTCCATGGTCTGGATTGTTCGTGTTACAGACTTCCCCGGCTGAGTTTTTCTGTTCTCTGTGGTATCAGTGAATATGTTCCTTTCCTTGCCATTCCTGGTATTTTGCTAGATTGATTGAGCAAATCTGGAGATTCAGGTGTGAGTGTTGTATGTATATGTAAAAGTAGTTCCTAGGGGTCAGCTGTCTTTCATCAGCAAGCCTGCTATATATTTGTGTGTCGTTACTGGCTGCAAAACAGTCAGAAACTATTAATTTATCTATAAGGAGATGCTCCCATCAACAATATGATCGATTACCCTGAGGTCTATGTCACACAAGATGAATTAATGTAAATATGAGTGACTTCTCTGTTGTTCTTCAGTGGTAACCAGTGATATTCCTATGGTTACAAGCTGACCAGTTAAAATAGTTGGATGAACACACTCAGCTTTGGTGGTAACCTTTTCTCCTCTAGCTCAGGGTCTCCTTGCATCCTTACCTGTTCTCCCTCCACCTGCTCCCAACTTCACGTTTACATGATTTGTGTTTTCTGACGGCCTGTTGATTCTGAGCTCATGGCCTTCCGCTGAGACTCCCTGGCAGGCCCTGTACTCAATTGTC